TTCTCTGCTCTCAGGGCCCTCCCAGTTCTGACATTCTCTGCTCTCAGGGCCCTCCCAGCTCTGACATTCTCTGTTCTCAGGGCCCTCCCACCTCTGACATTCTCTGTTCTCTGTTCTAAGGGCCCTCCCACCTCTGACATTCTCAGTTCTCAAGGCCCTCCCAGCTCTGACATTCTCTGTTCTCAGGGCCCTCCCAGCTCTGACATTCTCAGTTCTCAAGGCCCTCCCAGCTCTGACATCGTCTGTTCTCAGGGCCCTACCAGCTCTGACATTCTCTATTGTAAGGGTCCTCCCAGCTCGAATGTTCTATGAATCGTTAAAGTTGGGCTAGGACGCCCCTTCTGCCCCTTGAGATGGCAGACCTGGGGGGTCTGGGCAGAAACGGGACCCAGGGAGCCATAGCTGGGGAGCAGATACTGGCTGCCCGACCTTCGCCATATAGCCTTCCTTCCTGCCTGGGCTCCTTGCCACCCCACACCGTGGTTTCCTCCCGGGAAGAGCAGACCCTGGAGATGTAAACGGTCCAGAGCATGAACGAGCCAGTCAGATTTTGGGGGGGTCATTGTTCCCCCCCACAATCCACACATCCTTCAATAACCCCTCCCCCAACCATCCTAGCCCCCAGGGATCGGTCAGTCAATAGCCCAAGCTCCCACACACCACCAGCCCCAGCCACCCAGGGGCCGTCCCTAGGACAACTGGGCCTTCCGGAGTCACCTCAGACAAGTGAGAAGAGCCCTGAGCCTTGGAGTTGAAGAGCTGGATTTGAATCCTGACTCTGAGACTTTCTCCCCTTTCTGATCTAAGGCAAGTTCCTTTCCTTCTCTGGGCCTGAGGGCCCTCCTTTGTAAAATGAGGGGGCCAATCTCTAATTCTTTAGGGTCTGTCTCCTCAGTGACTGGGCTTTCTCAGGGCCAAGGTCATTTCTCACTTTCCCTCAGCCCCTGTCTGAGTGCCCAATGAACCCTCCTTGATTCTCTGAGGCTCTGGGGTCTTCCTCCTTTCTGCCTGTCTCCTCTCTCTTTTCGCCTCCTGATCCACTGACTCCTCCCTGGTCTTTCTGTCCACTCCCCAGGTGCCCGGGCCCAGGGGCTTTCCCTTACGTGGAAGTCAGGTCCCCGTATTTTTTCTCAATTATGTGCGCTTGTAAAGAGGTATCACTCATGGTCTCTTCTGTTTCTGTGAGGAGAGAGGTCAGGAAGACGAGTGAGAGGCAGCCCCTCATCATCGGAGCTTGGAGGGGATTCCAGCATGGGCCTGAGTTCAGCCTGGACGGGCCTGACCTCCCCAGGTCTGAATCTAGACTCTGAGAGTTGAGGATGCAGGGTCAGAGAAAGCGGTGCTTAGGGGTGCCAGAGGTCACATGTGGCCGGCAGGCAGGTGGGGGTGTGTACCTGTGTCCAGGTTTGTCAGAGACTCGTCCAGAAGCTTCTCATGCATCCGGGCTACTTTCTAGGAGTGAGTTGGAAGACAGAAGTTAATTCTTCCCTCCCAGACTCCCCCAAGAGATGGCCTTACCCATCCCCACCCTAACTAGGTGCAATCTTAGTGATCATACTTGGCCCTGACAATGAAAGGAGCTAACCTGCCCTCCTCCCTTGGCCAAGGTGGGGGTGTCCCTACCCCTCAGGCACCTCTGCCTGAGGTGGGGGTGACGGGGTCATTGGGAACATTGCATAGATGGTTAAATGCATGCGATGGATTGGGTGGTTGTTTATTTCACTGAATTGTGTATATATATATATGCATACATATATATATATATGAGATTAAAAAAACCCAGCCAATATCTACAGACATTTTTGGCAAAGGGGCTGAGATGCTGGGTGTGGGCAGGTGGCAGTGACCATCCCTTGACCCCTTGCGGTGGCAGGAAGCGCAGGCTAGGGGAGTTCCCACATTCCCTGGGTACATGTGTCCCTCTACCAACTGTGAGAAGACGCCCCGTGTGGAGGAATAAACACAGAGCAGGGTGAAGCCCCCCAAGCACAGCACAGTTCAAGCCGAGGGGCTCATGGCACAAGTTTCTTGGCTTAGAGGGGCCTGGTCTCTCAGCTTTGGCCCAAGCCCCCATGAAGGCTGCATCTGGAGGGGAGACATTCTTGGGCTACGTGTATATATGTGCATGTGTGTGCATGTGTTCCCCACTCTGCCTGCTCAAGGCCTTCTGGAGATAACCAGACCCTTCTCCCTGCCTGTGTATCCTACAACTAAGCCAACCAGGGGGATGCTCCTGCCCCGCCTGGGCGTCTAGCACTTGGCACAATGCCTAGCACACATAAGGTGCTTCATAAATGTTGATTGATGCTTTGAACTGGCTCGACACACCCTTTCTTCCCCTGCCCCCCCACCCTCCAAACCCCAGTACCTTTTGCTTCTCTTTTTCCAGGTCCTTGAGTAGGGCCGTCTGGAAATTATCCACCAGCACCGCGATCACTAGGCTACGAGACACTGGAGGGTGAGGTCCAAAGGCCCGGGTGCAGGCGCAGGGCCACCAGGGGAGGGCAGCAGATGTAGAAGGGGGCAGGGGCTCCTCTGGTGGGTTCATAGGCAGAGTAGGGGCTGAGCTGGGGTTTGTCTGGGGAGAGGGTCAGGTCCTGGAGGGGCTTGGGCCTGAGGGCTGGGAAAGGAGGGTGTGGAAAGCCCCAGGGTAGAGAGGGGAGGGGGAAGGTGGCTAGAGAGCCTCGAGGTGGGGAGGAGAGAGAGGGCTTGGTTTCTCACTTGAGGAAAATGAAGTATTGTATAATGATGTAGATCATGAGGATGGGGATGATATACCAGGCACCTGGGGGAGGAAGGGCCTTAACTTTGCACTCCCAGCAAGTATCCCAGGCCAGGCTTGGGGCCAGTAATGGGAAGGAAGTATGTCCATAGTTGGAGGGAGGCGAAGCAGAATGGGGATGAGAGGTGGGGGACCACCCATCCAAGAGTTTCCTATCTTCATTTTTCTTTCCAACTAGATGCTGTGCTATTGTTTCTGCACCAATACTCTCTGAATTTTTGCACTCTGGACCAACGTCCCCATTGCCCCACCCTTGTTATTTAAGGCTACTGCTCCAGAGTTCCCCTCCCAAGACAAGTCTGGAGAGAACGTCCAGCCTTCACATCTGTGTTGGACCCAAACCCACCTCCCAGTCCCTCCCAGGGTTCAGGCCTGTTCTCTACTACCTTTTGCCCGGCTGTCCAAATAGATGAGGGACCAGTCATCCAGGGTGAGCAAGGTAAAAAGAGTGAAGATGGTGGTAAAGATGTTCTGGAAGCGCTTGGGGTCCGAATAGTTGAACAGGGCTCGAAGTATCACGGAGAAGAAGACTGGGAGGCTAAGGAAGCCCCTGGGGCCCTTGTAAGACTGGCCACCCCCCCCACCCCCGCCCACCCTGCCCCACCCCCGCCTCGCCCCTGCCCAATCCTAGCCGACACACCCCTGGTAGCCTCCTCCCTCCCTGGATGCCCCGTCCTTCTCCAGATACAGAGGCAGGTGAACATCAGGACAAGGATGGCCCCGATGGATGGCAGCGACCTGGCCAGAGTCCCCGTCACCTCCTGGAGGCTGTTGAGGAAGCTAAAAGCAGGAGGAGAAGCAGACAAGATGGTCAGAGGAGCAGACGACCTTCCTAAGGGGAAAGACTGCAGAGGCCTGGCTGGACACCCCCAGGCCTGGGGCATCATCAGGAGGCCTGGGCCCTCACCCCTCCTGAACCTCTGTCTGGGACCTTTAGCTCCAAAGAGCCTCAGAACCAGAAAGGGTTTTAGGGCAGAGAACCAGTGCGGGAGCAGGAAGATCCCTTGGAGCACAGACAGAGAACAGAAGACCCGAGAGGGGCAGGAAACACAGTGGGAAAGCTGGAAGGAGCCTTAGAACAGGACCCGATGACTTAGAATCTACAGGAACATAGATTCAAGTCGGAAGCGAGGAAGCTTCTAGCCCAGCCCCTTCGTTTTACAGATGGAGAAACCGAGGAACGTGGAGGTTCGTTCAGGAATAAGATCGAGGATTTGAATCTGGAAGGCATGCTTAGGGTCTCTAGTTCGCCTCCCTCACTAAGGCCCAGAGGGGAAGTGATGTGCCCAAGGTAAGGAGTGGGTGCCAGAGGGGGGATGTGCAGCCAGGTGTTCTGACTCCAAGCCTCCACTGTCTCCAGCTGCTGCTGGCCCAGCTCTTGGCCTGGAAGGAGCGGAGGGCCCACCTGGCCTCACCTGGCCTCACCTGAGCCTCCGAAGCACCATTATGACCCTCAGGGCTCGAAGGCTTTTGAAGATCTTCAGGATTCGGAAGACAGTTTTGCTGTGGGCCATTCTATTGGCGCTGGAGAAGTAGAACTGTTTGAGCATGAAGTCCATCGCAGCCATGACCAGGATAAAGAAGTCTGGGGGAGGCGGAGGCCACAGCACTTCCTCAAGAGCCTGCCCGCCAAGCGCCAGCTGCCTCTTCTGTCCTTTGAACCTCACAGCCCCCTGGGAGGGAGCTATTGCAGGCATCATTGTGCCCACTCTACAGATGAGGAAACTGAGGTTTCGTAGGGAAATGACTTGCCCAGGGTTGCATAGCTAGTCAGTGCCAGAGGCAGGATTTGAGCCCAGGTCTCCCTGCCTCTGGGATTCAGTGCTCCGACCACTGAGCTGTGGTGTTTCTATCATTAAAGCAAGCTCCTGGGCAAGACCCAAGAGCCTCTTTTCCCCATATCCAAAAAGAACTCACCCTCTATTCTCCCCCTTTCCCGACCTGGAAGACCGCTCGCTGGAGAAGATGGCAGTTCATCACTACCACCACCCTGTGCTCCATCCCCTTCTTGTTTAGTGGTACCATGTTCCTGACCTCAGCCCTCCCTCCCCTGCCCAGCCAACCGGGCCCCAGCGCCACCCACCTAGGCTGTTCCAAGAATCAAAGTAACCAAGTCCCATGATCAGGATCTTTAGCACGGATTCCATGAAGTAGATGGAGAGGAAGACGGAGTCCAAAGCCGCGAAGTACCATTCTGCGGGGAGGTCAGATCCTCGGTTTGACTGCAGGCCCGGCCTCCTCCTGAAGGCCCTCCCCGGCGGACCTGCACACTTCCTCCCTCTGCCCTTACCCCACTACCTCCTTGCTTTTCTCAGGTAGGATCTGAGTCTTTCCACAATAAATAGTCCATGAGAGCTGCTTTCCTCCCTTGGATATGAAATCCAAAATGACCTATGTATCAGGATTACTGAGGAGTTACTGTGTTTTTCTTTCAGGATGTAAGTAAGCTGAAGTTCCTCTATTTTCTCCAATCCCCCTTCATCCTGGATATGTTTCTAGGCCCATAGGCTTCCTTTTTTTTTTTTTCCCCATGAGGCAATTGGGGTTAAGTGACTTGCCCAGGGTCACACAGCTAGTAAGTGTCAAGTGACTGAGGCTGGGTTTGAACTCAGGTCCTCCTGACTCCAAGGCCGGAGCTCTATCCACTGTGCCACCCAGCTGCCCCAGCCCATCAACTTCTGCTCCATCAGACTAGTGTCTGTGAGTTCCATCCATCCATTTCAATGCCTATAGTATTCTCTGTGCTTTTCTGATCGGGGTGTCAGAGTGATTGAGATGTGGGAGCAACCAGACAGTTACCACCACTGGGCCCAATGCTCATGCTAGCCTGCCTCCTGGTTTGGGGCTCAGGAGAGTCAAGGCCTCCAGGCTAGTGTTGCTGTAGAGGTAGGCGGACACCTCACCGTGGCGAAGCAGGGGACACCTCACTGTGTCAGAGCAATGAGGCTCTAGGGGGTCTGGTGACCTAGGTGGGGCTGTCTTGGGTTGGCTGGCGAGAGCAGTGTGTGTCGGGTTATGCTTGAACTGCCCGAGGTCCTAAAAGCACATGCACCCCTGGGAGTTAAGAGGCTGCAATTCACAAACAAGGAAGCTAACTCAGAGAGGGTTCCAGTCATCGAGAAGTCACCCGTTCTGCTAAGTCACTTGACCTATGCAGATCTAAGAGGGGAGACGATATTCAGACAACTCTGTACAGACAAGAACTCAATGGGGTAAATTAGTGTAGTCTCAGAGGAGGGAAGGAGGCCTGAAAAAGAAGCCTTGAGCTGAGACTTGAAGGAAGCCAGGAGGCAGACGTGAGGAGGGTGAGAGTTCCAGGCTTGGGAATCGCTCCCTTGTTTTCATCTCCTAGGCCCATTTATCAGTCAGCCATTTCTCCCTCTGTATACTAAGCTGTATACCAGTTGAATACCAGTCATGCCTGGTAACTGGGGCTCTCTCTGGCATCTTGGAGAGCTAAGAGTTGTCCCAGTGTACTTGGATGACCCTCCAAATCCATACCCTGCCCACATCCTCCATGCAAAATCTTCCAGGTAGCTGAAGATGGCCCTCCTGGTCCTCAAGGGCTCTCTGGCCCTTTCTGATGGCCCTCGGACTTTGAGAAGCCCTGAACCCAAGTGACCAGACTGGAGTCAGGTAGGTCTCTCCCAGCCATCCCCAGGTTCTTGAGGCTCTGCAGCCCCTTCCTCAAAGATGCTTACCTCCCCAGATCTCTACCTCAGCAAAAGTCTGCACCACCAGAACCATGGTGTTAAAACAGACCACGGTGAAGATGAAGATTTCGAAGACGAGGCTCTCGACCATGACGGCCAGCATGGACTGGATATGGCGCAAGCCTTCAAAGATCTTACCACAGCACTTCTGTAAAAGCTCATCAGCCGCCATCTGCTTCTTACGGACACGCTGGACCCTGGCTGCAAGGGCAGGAGAGAGGTCAGGCTCTGGGCAGTGATGGTGCCAGGGAGTGGGATCTCCAATGGGGGCTCTGAGATTTTTAGTAACAAAGCGTGCAGGGGCCCTAGTACGGTCACTATCAGTGAGGCAGGATAATTCACAGCAAGAAGGCATTCCATCCCAGGAGGGCACCAGCTTCTCTCCCACTCTCAGACTCACCTATTTCAATCTGGAAGAGGCCACCCCCTTCACTGTACAGAGGAAGATGGAAGCAGTAATGGGGACGACCCTCTGCTCTGGGGGTCTCTAAACTGTATGAGGGGGGAGTATGACCAAAAAAAAAAAAAAAAGGAGAAGAGTAACCACGCAGACACTCGGGGAAATGCTTTGGCTGAGGCTGTGCCGACTGCTGCCTGAGGTCTCGGGCACAGAAGGCAGTGAGCTGAAGGCCTGGGCAATGAAGGTTTTCTGTCTTGAGGCCAGGAACGGCCATGCGCTCGACAGGCTTCTAATATTCCCTTGGCTATGCCTGAGATGATGGTCCAGCAGGGCTACAGAGAGCAGGGTCCAGACCCAGGTACTCCTAAGTGGAAGCTAGGCTCCAGGCTGGGGTTTCTCAGGCCTAGGGACCCATGGGCAGGTAGTCTCACCCCTCCTAGTTTTCACGTGGCGATCTAGATCCCAGCTTTGGCCCATGGACGTGTACGACGGCTGAATTCGGCTACTGCTTCGAGAGGCCCTGCCCTTTAGGCTTACGTGGCCCCATGAGGTGTGGGAGGCTTTGGCCAGGTGCTTCGAATGGCTAGATTTGCTATGTGGTATGACGGGGGCAGCTGTGACGGGGGCTGAAAGAGCTGGCAGAGGGGCTGGAGGTTCAACAACCTCCCTCCGGGTCTCCTCTGGAACGGTTAAGTAATTCATCTTGGACAGGAGCCCTGGAACGGAGACAAGAGCGGCCGGTGTTCCACTTGGGAGCTTCCAGACCTGGTCCTCCTTGCCCTCCCCACTCTCCCCTCAAGCCTTCTTGCCTCACCTCAGGTCATCCAAGGGACTTGTGGGTTCTTACGTTCTATGGAGGGGCCTGGTGGTTTCCATGGAAACCCTTCTGTGATGCACAGGCTCCGCCCATCCGCTAGAATGCCTTTCACGGAACCCTAGACTCTCAGAGACCATCAAAGGCCATCAGGCCTAATTTACATCCCCAGCAAATTGTCATCTACCATCTGCTTGCAGACCTCCAATAACAGGGTGCTTGAAGATAGTTAGGAAGGTCTGAATTCAAATCCAACCTCAGAGATCCACCAGCTGTGGGACCCCAGACGAGTCACTTCACCGTGCAAAGCCTAGCTTCCTTATCTATAAAATGGGGATTGTTGTTGTAAGGATAAAATGAGAGAATATTTATAAAGTGCCTCGCCAAGCCGTCTAAACGCTAGTCGTAGCGGTGCTGGCAGCAGCAGCGGCATTACCGCCAAGGCAGCTCATTCCGCTCCTGCACCGTCTTCATCATTAGGCAGTTCTCAGCACGTCAGCCTGATCCGCCACTCGGAAAGTCGCCTCCATTCCTTCTAGCCAGTGTGACTGACCTCCTGAGCCCCGGCCTGCAGAATGCTCACTAGCTCCTGTGGGAGGAGTGGGAGGCTGTTTGAGGGGAGCTGAAACTCTCTCAGGACCAGCCCTTGTCGGGCCAAGCAGAAGCCTGCCGATCCCCCTTCTCTTGGACAGCCCTTCAGATTCGTGAAGACAGGGGTGGCTAGGTGGTGCAGTGGATAGAGCTCCAGCCTTGGAGTCAGGAGGATCTGAGTTGAAATCCGGCCTCAGACACTTGACACTCACCGGCTGTGTGACCCTGGGCAAGTCACTTAACCCTGACTGCCTCACCAAGAAAAAAAAAAAGCAGATTCTTGAAGACAGCCATCTTGGAAATCGGGTGCTTAGAATTGAACCCCTCATTCCAGAGGGTCTGGGGGTCTGACCTGAGCAGAGATGAGAAGGATAGTCACCTTCCCTTTTTCTGGATGCGTTCTCCCAGTGCCTTTCACATAAACCGCTCTCTAGGCATGCCATCTCCAGCTAGACCTCTAGAGTTGTTTTAAACAAATGAAATACGTTACATTTACAAAATCACAGAGTTTTAGCATCAAAAGGAACTTCAGCGTTCATACCCCCAAAGCCGATCTCTGCTACCATGTGATAGACAGATAACTGATTATCCAGCCCTTGGGTGGGGACCTCTAAGCAGGCCAAAGGTTCCCAGGCTGAGGCCCAGGCTACTGTCGGGCACATTTTCCTTGCCCTTAAGCCTACAGCAAACTCTTCATAGCTTCCAGCTAATTCCTGAGGGCCAAACACAAGAAATCTAAGCCCTTCCCTTCTCCACATGATGGTCTTTCAAATACCTGAAGATAGCTGCCCAGGCCTTCTTTAGTTTTTAAAAATAAATTCATTAGTTATTTTAAACATTTTTTAAAATGATGACTTCCAAATTCTCTCCCTCTCCCACCCACTGGGAAGGCAAGCAAATGATATAAATTATAAATGCGAAATCATGCAAAACATATTTCCATATTAGCCATGTTGTGAAAGAAAGGAAGGAAGGAAGAAAGAAAGAGCAAGAAAATTATACTTCAATTTGCACTGAGTTCACCAGTTCTCTCTCTGGAGGTGGGGAGCTGGCATTTTTTCATCATGAGTTCTTTGGAGTTGTCCTGGATCACTGTGTTTATTGGTCAGAGTAGCCAAGCCTTTCACAGTTGATCTTCATTACAACATTGCTCTGACTGTGCACAGTGATCTCCTGGTTCTGCTCATTTCACTTTGCATCAGTTCAAGTCTTCTCAGGTTTCTCTAAAGCCATCCCCCTCATCATTTCTTATAGCACAGCAGTATTCCATCACAATCATATACCATAACTTATCCAGATTTCCAGTTCTTTGCCACCACAAAAAGAGCTGCTATAATTGTTTTTGTACATATAGATCTTTTTCCTTTTCCTTTGATCTCTTTGGGGTAGAGACCTAGCAGTGGTATTGCTGGATCAGAGCATGCACAGTTTTATAGCCCTTTGGGTATAGTTCCAAATTGTTTCCCAGAATGTTTGGACTAGCTCCCAACTCCACAGATACTTTACTAGTGTACCTATTTAGCTGCATCAGTGTCCCAATTTTCCCTCATTCTTTCCAGCATTTGTCAATTTTGATAGGTGTTGGGAGGTACCTCAGAGTTGTTTTAATTTGCATTTCTCTAATCAATAGAGATTTAGAGCATTTTTTTCATATGACTGTAGATAGTTTTGATTTCTTCTTCTGAAAATTACCTTTTCATATCCTTTGGCCATTTAGCAATTGGAGAATGGCTCTTCTTTTTATAAATTTGACTCAGTTCTCTATATATTTGAGGCCTTTATCAGAGAAACGTGCTGTAAAAAATTTTTATATTGCTTCATTTTCTATGGTAACTTTCAGCAAAATATAGTTTCCTTGTGAGGAAATTATGGAAGGAATTATCTCTTTTAATTAGATCTCTTCATGCTTTAGCTTTGTCTGAGATCATGATTGCTACTCCTGCCTTCTTTTGGTTCAGCTGAAGATATTAGATTCTGCTTCAACCCTTTATTTTAACTCTGTGTGTGTCTTTCTGTTTCAAGTGAATCTCTTGTAAACAACATATTGGTGGGTTCTGGTTTCTAATCCATTCTGCTATCTGCTTCTGTTTTATGTGTTAGCTCATCCCTTTCACATTCACAGTTATGGTTACTAACTGTGTATTTCCCTCCATCCCATTTTCTTCTGTTTATCCTTCTCTCTTTCTCTTTTCATCCTGACCCTCCTCAAAAGTCTGTTTGGCTCCTGACCCCTGCATCCCTTAATCCACCGTCCCTTTTATCTTCCCCTCCACCCCATCTCTCTGACCTCCTTCCCCTCCTGTTTCCCTAATGGGTAAGACAGATATCTATACCAAACTGAATGGGTACATATATCCTTCCCTCTTTGAAACAATTCCAATGAGAATGAGATGAAAACATTGCTCGTGACTACCTCTATTTTCCCCGTCACTATAAAAGCTCTTCCTTGTGCTCCATTCTACCTCTTCTCCCAGGCCACCTCTTTTTCTCGCCCCTTCATTTTGTGTGTGTGTGTGTGTGGGGGGGAAATCATCCCAACACAGTTGATTTATATCATGCCCTCTGTCTATGCAGACTCCTTCTAATTGCCCTAATAACGAGAAAGTTCTTAGGTGTTACATGTCTCATTTTCCCACATAGTAAAATAAACAGTTTGATTTTATTAAGTCTCTTATGATTACTCTTTCATGTTGAACTTTTTATGCTTCTCTTGTGTCTTGTGTTTGAAAGTCATATTTTCTACTAAGCTCTGGGCTTTTCATCAGCAATGCTTGAAGGTCCTCTATTTCATCAAATATCAATTTTTCCCCCTGAAAGATTATACTCAGTTTGGCTGGGTAGGTTATTTTTAATTGTCATCCTAGTTTCTTTGCCTTCTGTAATATCATATACCAAGCCCTCTGATCCTTTAATGTGGAAGCTGCTAAATCTTGTGTGACCCTGACTGTGGCTCCAAGATATTTGAATTGTTTCTTTCTGGCTGTTTGTAACATTTGCTTCTTGACGTGGGAGCCTGGAATTCGGCTCTTCCTGGGAATTTGCATTTTCAGATCTCTTTCAGGTGGTGATCGGTGGATTTCTTCAATTTCTATTTCACCCTCTGGATCAATATCAATATCTACTCTCTTTTTTAAAAATTTCAGGTAATCTAGTAATTTTTAAAGTATTTCTCCTTGATCTCTTTTCCAGGTCAGTTTTTTTTTTTCAATGAGATATCTCACATTTTCTTCTATTTAAAAAAAAATTGTTTTGCTTTTGTTTTATTGTTTCTCGATGTTTCACTTGCCCAGTTCTAATTCTTAAGGAATTATTTTCTTCAGTGAGCTTTTTTACCCCTTTTTCCAATGGACCAATTCTGTTCTTTAAGGAGTTTTTTTTTCTTCATTGAATTTTTGTGCCTCTTTTACCATTAATCCAATTCTGTTATTTAAGGTGTTATTTTCTTCTTTTGTGCATTTTTTTACCAAGCTGTCAATTCTCTTTTCATAATTTTTTTGCATTGTTCTCATTTCTTTTCCCAATTTTTCCTCTACTATTAATCTCTTTCTTTAACTCTTTGAGGAATTCTTATTTAGTTTGGCTCGATCTTACTTTGAGGCTTTGGTTGTAGCTGTTTGCACATTGTCGTCTTCTGAATTTTTGTCTTGGTCTTTCCTGCCACCAAAATACCTTTTTATGATCAAGTTCTTTTTTCTGTTGTTGTTGTTTACTCATTTTTCCCAGCCTACTTCCTGACTTTGAACTTTGTGTGAAAGTTGGGCTCTGCTCACTCAGGGTGAGGAGGCACTGTCCCAGTCTCAGTGCTTCCTTGTGCTGCTATTTTCAGAGCAAGTTCTGGGGGTCTGCAAGTTTTCAGCACTTTGAAAGTGGTGTGATCTGGTAAGAGGTGTGGTCACTGCTCTTCTGGTCTGTGCTCTGGTCTTTACTCAGGAAGAGCCCCTGCTCCCCTGTAGCCGCAAGCATTAGCACTTCTCTTGGTCCTGGAACTATGACCAAGACCGCTAATCTCCTTCAGCCACGAGTCCTAGTGCTCCTCTTGGCCTGGGAACTGTGCCCAGGGCACCTGTTCACTTATGATGGACCATAAGCATTCCTCTCTACCTTGGAACTGTGATCCAAAACCGCTATGGTCAGTAGAGTTGCCAATCATTGCCAGCTGTACCCAGTGCCAACAAAGGGTCCCCTGCAATCTCTTTCTGACCAGTTGTCCAACCCCTTCACCATCTCTGACCTGAGAGCTCCTGAAGCTGCTGCTGCTGCAGCCACTTCCAAGACCCTCT